CCAAGAAGGCTGTGGATCCACTAGATTGTTTATCTATTGGTCACATATTAATTGGAAAAGATAAACACCCTCACCAAAAGTTACACAATGCAAATCCGATACCACAAAGATACGACGAGACAAGTATGAATGAATAATAGAAGAAAGTAATTGGTGTATTAGAAACACATCGACATCATCGTGAATGAAACTGATCATCTACATACATCGTAATGATGTAGTAATGGCCAAAGACGACAGAGCTGGATGAACGAACCGACGCTATGATATAATCAACTCAAAAGAATAACAGATTCAATCGAGTACATTTACAGATCAATACAAATTCGTAATAGAAAATGCATCTCATCCTCGTCGATCAAGGATCCAATTATGAACAGAGGATGAAGTCCGAACTACGGAATACCTGCAATTCTGCTGTAACCCCCTCCTCAACCTTCATCTTCATCCACATCTACCCACATCCCTTTCACCAACCTCGGAATTTTCTATTCAAAACCTCGAACTCAAGGCCGATACTTCGTGATTCTTTTGATTGGTTACCACTTGGACCAATCATATGTAGAAGTGGTGGATCATGCTCTTTCATCTTCATTCTCTTCTCTCTCTCTCTCCAGAAAAGTGACCCAAAAACCAGAGAAAACCACAAACTCTTCGGATCAAATTCGAGAACATTTAGCGAAGCGTATAAACGATTATCGAAGAAGGAAGAGAAAGGTTAACGAGAGGAAGTCGTTTTCTTATATTCGATGGTCTACTTGCTGAAATTTGACGCTAGTGGGTTACAGGGGCGATGATGTTTTTTCACGTGTGGTTATGGCGACGGTCGGAGTTCGCTTTAATTTTGGCCGATGCGTTCAGGATGGGGAAGGAATGGGGAAGGGAGGGTTTTACTTTAGTCTTCGACAAACCTAGGTAGGACTACTTCGTACGAACTGGTAAAAACTTCTGTATATTTAATATCATTTTTGCTGCCTATGAACACCAATATTCAGTCAATATTGGGTAAGTATTCAATATCTGTTGAATGACATTACGACAACAAGAAGCCACTTGAACAGTTGCAAAACTCAACAATCTCGTCTTTCCCTTGCCTCTCAGCCAAAATCGTGCTTTATTTTTGTTTCTTACACTATTTCATCATCCATGATTGGAAAGATATCTATCAAGTAGTTCTTACATAAGCATGCACCGCATCGAACGTCCTCGTCGAAACACTTCGATTCGTCGCAAAGATCCATAAGCTACAAGATCCCACCGTATCCCATCACATCAAACAAAGGCTGGCGAGAAATCTGTGCTTCTTCTATCATCCTCACCAAACCTCTCCATCTTGATTCCTCATCATGTCTATGAATCCCCATTGCCCCGTCTCCATTTCTAGATTGAACCTGAATTGCAGCATTTCTTTTGTATCCTTCTCTTATTCGATACGTCCCGCCCATCTCGGGCTGCTGATGTAGAACAGATGAAGTAGCTGATCTGCCTGAAGAGAAAGGATAGCTGGTGGAGACCATGTTGCTTCTGAAGTAACATACAAGAGTTGGGGTATTAGGAAAATGATTTGATGGGAGAGCCGAGAGTGCGATTTCGTCGAGCCCGGGCAGAGACACAGGTGCTAGTTGCGTGGAATTTCGAGATGGCATAGGCTTGATATCACAGATCCGTAAGCGATGGCATACGGAATCACAAGGGGTCAGAGGGTATATTGAAGTAAAGTGTCCAGCCGACTAGTGTCAAGAATTGGATAAATGGAAGTGCGACGGTGGCTTTTGATGCACAAGCCGCCGACACTAGAGTCCTTTTTTAGGGTTCCTTGCACATTTGTTGTCAACAGTATCCTATGTAGGGATCTCAGATGCGAGGAAGACACAAGTACCTAGGCAGTCAGATAGAAAATGACAAGAGCCGCGTCTAGAATTCTGGTCCATTCAGTGAATTAGCTTGTATCCAACCTTGAGGAACATGGAGCTGAAGACAAACAGATGCGCCTGGTAATCGTAAAATTTTGCCAAAGATCGAGGCGTTTTGATAATCTGAGTACGGCATGAGCTGCCAATATCTTCTTGGTAGTGGTAGAAAAGTTATGTGTTACAAATCGAGATGAATACAAGACCGTCCATATGAACGAGAACTAGCTCTATACCTCACACTGACAGGGGCTAGATTGCAACAACGAAGGCTCGAGTTTTTCTTACATAACTGAGAGATCAGATGGTAGATGTTGCCCGTATCGCAGGACCTGTTTAATGATTTAAACTTTCAAAACCGACGGAGACTCGGGACGGGGGCAAGAGCTGTCAAAATGAGCACGATTAAACCCAGAAGCTGGTCAAAGGGAGGATATAAGAGCTTGAGAACTCCGTGGCTTTACGAGCATATGCAAGTTGAAAGCGCCTAAGAATGATAAACCGGGATGAAAGATCTTGGATATGTGATATTGCTCTCCCGTGCATATTGGTAGGGCCATCCTCTGTAAAGTTTCCCATAGCTGCTCATCGTTCTTCCGATATTTCCGGTTGAATATTCTCTTGAATTATAGTTTGAAATCAAGTTATGATGCCATGTAATGTATTATGAAGATACTCACAACTGCCCAATGAGGAACGGAAGAGGGACACCGGCAGCAAACAAAAAGCCCCGAGGGATCCAATTGCATTGGATTTGCACCAAATATTGAGCAACCTCAACTGTTTACGGGGTAAAAATATGCGATTGCCAGGGACTTCCTTATACTGCAGATTTTTGAAGCAAGATTGACAAGCAGAACTCCTTAGAGTTTGCATGCATTTAGAGGCCATCGCCCAATCAAATATCGTGAATATTATGCAAACGGAATTCGAAAAAATGCAAACCACAGCTATGGTAGGTATTATAGCGAAATACAAAAATATTCTGCATATTTTGAATGCTGGAATATGTATTGAGGATTGGCGACAAACTTTAAAGTGGCTTGTATTGGCCTCATGTGATGTGTCGAAGCCTAAAGTTTCGATAAGATTTTCTGTGAGACTCGAAGGAGTACCAAGAATTCATCTTATTAAACAAATGAAATACTCATATTCAAACTCAAATTTGGACCCATATGTTGAAGACGTGGGAGGAACTGCATTCTTTACCGAAGTAAGAAAGTTGAAAACAGATGGATCTGGAGAATTCGATGAACTAGGCCTAAACTGATATACAGTACGAAACACCTCCATGTCAGACTTGCAGACAGATTTTCATCAAGACTGAAAAGTTTATGTCGATGTCACACGAATGAAGTTTCCTTTTCTTAGGAAATTCAACCCAAGCAGAAATGACTTGGAGTCTATCTCTATGTTTAGAATTCCGAACAACTTCGAGAGAAACAAATTCCATGATATGTGAAGCTCGATCGAGGCTGGAGACAGCGTCTAGCGATCGACACGCTCTCTTGTGTGTTGTTTTCAGCTCGACCTTGGCACGCCCCCACGTATACCAGCAAGGGGTTCTGGGGCACGGGGGCCTGGGGGCAGTAAGAAGTTCTTATTGTATCCAAAAATCTCAAAAAAATCTCCGAATCCATGAATATTGATGTTCATTTGGCAATTACCTTGGTAAAGCTCCCAAGATGTTGTACAATACCAAAGAAGCGGAGCATGCATTTCTCAAGATCATGTGGAAAGTGCGTCGTCTATTGCCCACCTTCAGGTTACGCATCGGAAAATACCCATCCAAGAAACCATCCATCCCAAATTATTCCTTTCTTTCAATTCAATAACCCAAATTTCGATAATAATTAGTTTCAAATGGACTGTCCTCACCGTCGCGAATAACTTCACCGGCCTTCCCGGACCTGCGACGGTCCGGATGCTGTCTTGGCCATAAATAGGATAACAATTTTGGTGATTACCCCATATCTTGGTAACATTGACTCAAGGTCATGACTTCCTAATCGAGAAATTCAAAAGTTACCAGTGATCACATCATCCGTCTTTCCTAAAGCCCAGATGCCTCCCGTTTCTGCCAAGAAGGCTACGATTCATGGAAAGTATACGTCGCTGTCCGAGATCTCACCGTCTTTTCTGATCTCAACGTTGTACCTTATCATCGCAACGCAAAGATGGAATGGAGTACGGAATGTGAGCAAATCAGTCCTTATCTAAAGATATATCTAAAGATATTTCATCCCAAAATTCCAAGACTAATGAGATCAATTTGTCCCCAGATAAATCACATTATCCCAACTTGGCATCTTGGAGTCTTGGGATTCTGCGGCATTGATGTACCAAAAATATACCCACTTTGGGCAGCAGTCAGATGGATTGATAAAGAATATTAACATACTTGTCATGTTTGCCTTCTCTTGATGGTACACATTCATGTCACCGTGTGCAATTGAAAAAGTCCAGACTTTGACCAAGATACTGTTGTGATACCTGCAACACCATATTGTCTTACTTTACATTGCAGTAAGCAAAGCAGCACTTACTCTAGAAATCCTAGTGGATTATGGGTCAGAAGTAGGCGATTCAAAGCGTTCAGCTTTCTGTTATACTCTGCAATCAATCCTTATCAAAGTTTTCCTCAGTACGACGATCAATACCAGAAGAACTCTTTCAAGACGTCCGAGGATCAAACGATTGAGCACTAAAGTCTCATATATGACGTTTGGAAAAGCAATGCCACGAAGGGAGACAGAAACTAATCAACCTGCAATACCATTTTCCGACAAAACCTTATTTTCACTTGGCATTTGACTTCGCCTCTCTTGGCCAGTAAAAAGCATCATGATATACACATGCAACAGCAACAACCCGGTGGACATTCCTCCGGATACCATACAACATCTAAGAAAGATCTTCGCCAAGATCCCATATCTGCGGCTCCCCAGATGATGGTTTCCCCGAAATACACATAATCTCTTACTTTGATAGCAAAGGCCAAGCTGTCGAAACCTAGTCACTGCCCCCTTATTTTTCTATTTGTTTCCTGAACTTGGGGCTCCATTTCTAAGCATAAGGTTAATGACAATTATGAGTACCGAAACCACCAAGCCTTCTATCCCCATGTAAGTCTGGGCGAGAAGATATAGTTATTCTGTATCACTACAGTCAGCTTGACGTCCCAGTCGTTCCGCAAGATAAGTTAAGGCGTCCCTCCAAGTCGGATGAGGCGTTCCTCTTTCTTTCTCGTCAATCTACTTGTACCTCCTCTGCGAATAGACACCAACAAGTGACTTTTCCATCGTTGAGGTAAATACTTTCGAGGCCACTTCTTTCCTCAAAGCTAGATTACTACCATTTATTTGTGCTCAATAGATTGCTGAGTAGTGTCCTGTAATATTCGGCACCTCATCTCCTTATCATTTCGCCATCACGATGACCGGGAAATTCACACTCAAAGATCCGGCTCGCTGTGCTCACTATGCTCGATTCTTCCAACATTTAACATTGGCCGAAGCTAATATCATATACTGGTCCTTGTTTGTATTCGTTCTTGTCTTGATGTGTATATCATCCATTCAATATCACAAGTAAGTAGCAGTCAGCATATGTTCACACTCTTCTCCACATTCTCCACAAATTTCTGGACCTGTCAGTCTAACGAACCCCAGATCAAACAACCTAACCGAACTCCTGAAAAGTGACTCCAGTTCTCGCCAAATCCGTCGCATTCGTCGTCGCCGGATCCACTACCTCTCGATAGTCTTCCTGTGTTTCCTAATCGCTCTCATTTGTATCGTGCTCGAGGTGTTCGCCGCCTTCAATATCGAATACTGTGACGGGGAAGATCTAATTCAACTCTACTGGGGATTTTGGTCAATTCTTCAAGTCGGTTCTCTCATCGCTATTCTAGGAGTCATGCTGCAATTCTGGATTGTTCTTGGGAATGTCCAAACACCGAGTTGGGCAGTGGCACTAGGAACTCCAGTGTTGGTTTTTGCCGCGTTGGGGTATATCTTTAGACATATTAGCAAAAGCTGGAGGTGGGGAAAAAGGAGAAACCAGGAAGGCGATACTGATATTGAGGCGGGTAGAGGTGGGGGTGTTGAGAATGAGGAAGTGGAGAAGAGGGGCAGTTGGGCTGAGAGGTGGATTACTTGGGCACCTGAAGATCGAGAAATCAGAGATAGAAGAGAAGAGGATTTGAGTAAAGTGAGGACTATGAGGTCAGCTGAATGTTCGGATATGGAGTTTGCTAGTAGAGCGTAAGTACTACACTTTTTCCTTGGGAGGTTATAGATGTACTAACACAGCGCAGAACAACTTTATACACACCAGGACAACCAGGCGATGTCAGAAGGAGCTCGACATTTTGAGCTATGGCTAGTTGATGACGATCGATTAAATTGTGTTAAATTATGTTTGATAATATGATATACACATGCTCAAGTGCTGAGCTCAGGACAGATGGATAAACGGATACCAAAGGAAATACGGAGTTTTAAAGTTTGGATCAAGAATTGGCGTTTAGAAAAAGGCGGATTTTGAATCTTGATAGGAAATCAAAGGGAAAGATTGTGATGAAATGAGTATAACATGGGTACTGAATAGCGAAGCGATTGGAATTATGAACAGCATGCAACAGACACATACTTTTAGATAGAAGATACCACCACAACTCGCGATGAAGTTTACTTAGTCCTGCTTTTTTCAACTAAACATCCTGATTTTCAAGGCTGATCATGTGAGCCCAAGTATTTCAATGTGTGGATATATTTTACGCTTGACCTCATCACATCCCTTCTTACATAACACAATTTTTTACTGCTGTTTCCATCCATAGCTTCGTGTACAATCTATGCGCAAACTCCACATGTGCCGGCATAGGTTTCTCGGTACTTTTTCCGGCTCCTTTAAAGAACACACTCTTCAGCTCGAAGACTGCCACCCCCTCGCTTTTATCAACACTAGCCTTCATCTCAAAAAGTCCATCGCTATCCCTTACCCCGGTCACTAAAGGGGAATCTCCGCAGCGGACGATAATTGAAGTGGGGGTTTTGGAAACGACTTCAAAATGATCGGTTATTTGAGTTCCGACTTCGTAAGTGGAGGAGAGGAGTTGCGAAGGTTCCCAGAGCTGGTGGGAGGTGGTGGTGGTGTTTTGGTATTTTTTAGAAAGGTAGGAACGTTGGTATGAATAGCCTGTTTTCCCAAATTGGATTAGCTTTTATCATACCCTACTTCTATTTCCGTATCTCCTCTCTTTTCTCTTCTTAACCGCCGAGCAACGCGCGGCAAGCTCTTCAAGAATACAAGGAAAGGTACATACCCAAACCACCCCAAACTCCCGCACAAAAAGCCTCAACCAATTTTCCTTCCTTCTCCAATAAATGCGGTTTTATCTTACTCAGCGGTACCTTTCTTTGACATAAATCTTGCGTGGCAGGATTGCGATTGGGGTTTTGTCGCATGTAGGCTGCGCTTGAAAATATCGGATCCGAGGGGGAGACGGGGATGAATCTGGAATGGCGCGTCCAGAAGGCCCAGCCGGATGTGGCACCTGCGGCTCCGAGAAGGGCGGTGGTGAAGGTACTGCGGATAAGTCCCATTTTGTTAGAGGTTCGTATAGTGGAAGAAAGAGAAGGAAGACTAATAGAGAAAAGTTAAAGAGAGAAATGTGATGTGGTGTGACGAAATGGTGGAGAAGTGCTATTGGTAAGCTTGCGGATAAGGCTTATCGAGCTTATCAACATTTCCAGGGGTAAGGTTAGGTCTCGGCAGAAATGAAAGTTCTTGATTGCCGATCAAGACAGTACCGGTAGTAAGATTACATGACATAGTGAGTGGTATTGAACCTATTCCCTCATCCACATGTTCTCTAACATCAAATTCATACTTTCGTGCATGTTTCTCCCTTTCGTTTTTCTTCGTTCTGCAACCTTCGTGTCGGGGAAACAGACCTTTCAACTGTTCGTTTCTCTGCTAATTTGTCGTGTTTCAATCATCAAAGTTCAATATTCGGTTCAAGATTGGTTTGATTCTCCACTCCCGATCTTTTGAGGGTTGCAGAAAGCACTTTCCAGTTCAGGAATTCTGCAATACCCGATCATTAATTCACAATGCAATCTCACTATGGTTTCTCTTGCCCAGATGTTTGCCGAGGTTCAAGATAGCAAATTGTTCGATCTGCGAATGTTTTGTGGCCCATATGCATGATTGCTTCAGCTGAACACCATCCCCATGTATACATTCCACGGCTTTATCCACGCTGTATGAGCTCCTGACTAGCAAGTGGCTGGTCAAGTCATGGCAGGGATTTTTTCCATGCACGATTAACTCGGTTTTATGGCAGTGTCACTTCTCTTATCGGCGATATGCATCTCGAATTTCTTACCATGCTTATCTACCCCGCACATCAACGTGATGAGGGAGTATAGCGTGGAAAAATATCAGGTCGATCGAGATTATGACGCTTAAGTGGATATCAGAAATTGAGGTTATCTACCAAAAATATATAAAAAGAAGTTCTTTACCAAGTTCCTCTCCAGGCAAACATCTCAGGTGCTCCGCAAGAGAGAAGAGCAACACCTCAGTATGGGAGACTCAGGCATGACTCCAGACGAAACCAGAGGTTATCGATTGGGTGTTGATGTTGGAGTACGTGAATCGATCCTCAACAGCTCCAAGCACATGTCATAGCTGACAATTGGTTTTAGGGAACTTTCACCGACGTATGCGTCTTTACACCTGGGGGCGATACTATACGGACGAAGGTACCATCGACTGGTCAAGATCAATGTATCGGTGTTAAAAATGGTATCACGCAAGTGCGAGAGAAATTGAAGGCTTTGTACAAGTGGGATGGTCAATTCGACGGCATTCATCACGGTACTACTGTTGGTAAGGACCTATGACCTTTCTATGGTGTTTCAATGATTTTCTAATCCTCATGCCAGGAACAAATGCTGTTCTCGAAGGCAAAGGGGCAAAGGCTGGATTGATTGTCACAGCAGGTCATAAAGATATTCTGGCTGTACGGAGATCTCAGATACCAGGTGGTCTGGGAGCTTGGATTAATTTCATGCCACCTGATCTTATAGTTCCTCTTGAATATACCGTACAATGCAAAGGAACCATAGGCCACAATGGTCGGATTGTTGCACCAATCGATGAGGATTCACTTCGCAAAGATCTTACAAGCCTCAAGAAACGAAACCTTGAAACTATCACAATTAGTCTGCTCAACTCTTACCAGAACAACACACACGAGAAGCAGGTGGCAGAGATCTCGACGGAGGTTCTTGGTCCTGATGTTGAGATAATTTGTTCAAGTGATGTGTTATCAGAGATGGGAGAATACGAGCGCACTGTGACAGCAAGTGCTAACGCTGTCGTTAAGCCAGTAGTCAAGAAGTACCTAGCTAACCTCCAGAGCCTTCTTGCTGATGATAGCGAGACTATTCGAATCTTGAAAAGTGATGGTGGTCTTACTACATTAGACTTGGCTGGCGATCTACCTGTCAATATACTAATGTCTGGACCAGCAGGTGGGGTCCGAGGTGTCGCAGATATTGTCGCCAAGAAAACCAAATATCGAAATCTGATAACATTAGATATGGGTGGTACCTCAACCGACTGTGCACTTATTTCTGATGGAACTCCCGCCATTCGAAGAGAGACTGCTATTGACAATTTGATAGTAAGAGCTCCATCAGTGGATGTCAAGTAAGTCTTATTTCGCTCATCTTGCCACCATGCCTTTTAATTGACCATTATCAGAACTGTTGGTGCAGGTGGTGGATCAATAGCGCAATACGTTGAATTGACATCTACAATGCGCGTAGGTCCAGAATCGTCTGGAGCAGATCCTGGGCCTGCTTGTTATGGGAAGGGCGGAAATAACGCGACTGTAACTGACGCAAATGTTGTCCTCGGCTATCTTCCAGACAAACTTCTCGGTGGTGATTTTCCACTAGACATTGCAGCTGCGAGAATTGCGGTCGAAAACGTTGCAAAACAGATGGGATTATCGATAGATGAAACTGCTCAAGGTATCTATAACCTGGTTAACGAAAAGATGTACAACGCTTTACACAACGTCTCCGTTGAACAAGGTTACAATCCTGAAGACTTTTCACTTGTTGCATTTGGAGGAGCCGGTCCTCTGCATGCGAATGCGGTGGGAAAATTACTCGGAGCTTGGCCAGTTATTGTTCCACCCGCTCCGGGTGTTTTATGTGCACAGGGCGATGCTACGACAAAGTTGAGCCATGAACAGTCTATTTCTTACATCAAACTTCTCACGGACGCCACACAGAGTGAAATCTTTGATGCTCTATCTGAATTAAGAACAAAGTGCCAAGATGTAATTCTTAAAGCGCTAAGTCAGTCGACCCCTCTTAAAGTCGAGTACGAATCATATCTCAGGTACAAAGGCCAGGCTTTGACAATGTCTATCCCACTTCTTGTAGAAGATTTTGGACTTGATTCATTAAACTTTATTAAGACGATTAAAGAACGATTCCACGCAGCCCACGAACAGCAATATAGCTTCTGTCTTCCCGATTTCGAACTTGAGATGATGCGACTCGGTACAATTGTTACAGATGATTCTGCGGATGTGGAACTTAATCCTATCGAGATCGCTCCTCTTGACAGAATTTACAAACCTCCGCATGATGCTATTATTAGTCGGAAAACGATTAGTACCGACGGTGAAACAATGGAGGCGATATTTTGGGACAGATCCAAGATCACGAAAGTTGGATATCAGGTTCAAGGACCTTGTGTGGTATCAGAAATGGATTCCAATACTCTCGTACTTCCAGGCTTCCATGGCGAAATTGATCCGTATGGGAATATCCTCATTTTCCCAAACGAGGATACAAAGTTAACGTCTGATATTGCCCACCATAGTTGGGAAAGCGCTCAAGATCTTGTTCAAGTGTCACCGTTGATTCCAACTTTGATCTCCTCTTCATTGCAGTCAATAAGAAATGAGATGGATACCTTTATGCTAAGGTGTAGTATGTCACCTGCTATTCGAGATCAACAAGATGAATTTAATGTCATCACGAATAAAAAGGGACAGATGTTAGTCGGACAATTTGGTAGCTTTATTACCCAGTTCCTGCAGTCATGGAAAGGAACTATTGAGGAGGGTGATGTTTTCGTCACAAATGATGTTTATGAAACTAGTGGTGCTATAAGCCATCTCAATGATGTGGTTGTACTTCTCCCAATCCATCACAAAGGGGATCTCGTGGGCTGGGCAGCAAACTTTGGACATATGACGTATGTTGTTTCTCGATTTCCCAAGTACCAGGAACTAATTGATGATGAACAGTGATGTTGGGGGCACGGTGCCAGGAAGTATGTCTATTAACTCCACTTCTGTCTTCGAAGATGGGATTCAGATACCCACCGTAAAACTTTATTCTCGAGGTGTATATAATGCAGCGATGGTCGAAGTATTTTGTCGAAATTCTCGTCAACCGGATTGGTTTCGTAGCGATTTAACAGCCCTTGTAGCTGCTTGTAGAACGGCAGCTACCAGAGTCTGCGAGCTGAACGAAAGATTTGGTCCCAAGTAAGTCATGTCACTCACAAATTTAGGACAGTATAACTGATTTCTGTGTCTAGTGTATATAGTGCCTCTTGCGACGAACTTCTCGCACGAAATCGTTCAGGCATCAAGAAACTCATCGAAACTCAGCTCGGTGACGAGGAAAGCACATTCACTGATTTTATAGACGATGATGGTCAAGGCGTTGGACCTTATGCAATCACTTGTTCAATGAAAAAGACAAACGGAAAACTGGTCTTTGACTTCAATGGTACTTCTCCACAAGCTGAAACAGCTATTAATTTCTATCTCTCCGTTACTATGTTTAAAATGTTTGTCGGGTACTACTTACTTGCAGTATTTGATCCCTTTTGCGTCGTCAATGATGGATTTCATGACATGCTTGAAGTTATAATACCTGAAGGGACTATACTTCGTCCCGTACGCCCAGCCCCTGTCAGCTGTCGCACTCATCTTCTAGGACGCACAATGGATATCGTACAAGCTCTCATGGGTCAGCGGTCTCCCCAATATAGTGCTGCAGCTGGATTTTCAGATTCTCCACATTTCTTCTACTCCGGATTCAAAACTAATGGTGAATGGTATCAGCTCTACCAAATTGGCTTTGGGGGTGTTCCAGCTCGTCCTATTGGTGATGGTCCAGATTGTCATTGCTTGTTTCCAGCCATCAAATCTGTGCCCGCTGAGGCTATTGAGCTTAACTTTCCATTGCGAATCGAAGCCAATGAATCACTTGCCGATACTGGAGGTGCAGGGTTTCATCGTGGTGGTAATGCACAAAGAACTTTGTACCGATTTTTGGCAAAAGGTGAATTTAGTCTTCATGATGATAGATGGTTCACGAAACCGTGGGGAATCAGTGGAGGACAACCAGGTATGAGATCTTGGAAGAAACTGCGTTCAGTGAATGGCGAGGAAAAAATGTTGCAAAGTAAATGTGATCATGTCAAGGTGGTTCCCGGAGATTTGTTAGAATGGGTTACTTGGGGAGGTGGAGGACTGGGTGATCCATTCACGAGACCGGCTGAGAAAGTTGCGTTGGAGGTGGAGAGGAAGTTGGTTACAATTGATGGGGCTAAAAGAAATTACGGAGTGGTAATCAATGAGGATGATTTCTCGGTCAATAACGAGGAAACGGAAATTCTAAGAGAAAAGATGAAGAAAACGAATGGAGGAGAAGGGGTAGTTTACAACAGAGGTGGTACTCTAGAGGAATTGAGAGAACGATGCCAGGAGGAGACGGGATTAAAAGCTCCTGTTCCACAATGGGAGAATGATCCATATGGACCACATACGGGATTAGAGTATGTGCAAGAATGGTTCAAGGAGAAGAGGGCAATTAGAGGTTGGAACTTGCAGTGACGAATCTAGGCGGAATGTCTCTCTAAATCTGTTAAAATGACTGGTTGATCATATTGATCATGTTAAGTCTAATTATCCACGTCTACAGCCTGTGTATCTATTTGTTTTAGATGAGACAAAAACATTAGTGCTACTCCACATACGAATCTGAGATGTGCCCCCACTATCTCCTTGCATACAACATATCATATCCACAACCCCCACCGGATAAAATCTGTGCATCTAATATTGGATGATAGAGGGTCTTTTTATTTAATATATTTAATATATTTGATCATGAAATTCCATGCAACAATAAGCAATCAGCTGTCAGCGTTTGTGGTTTAGTGGTAAAATCCATCGTTGCCATCAATCTTCTCTTCTCTCGAAAAATAAGATCGGATCAACTTCGATGGGCCCCGGGTTCGATTCCCGGCGAACGCAATACTCTTTTTGCCCGTTGAATGGAACCATCTGATCGTTCCATTGATTTTGTTGTTAGTTTTTGAAGTTGTGGTGGTGGGTGATTGTTTGCAGGTGGTTTGCACGGCAGAAATCATGGTGTTGAATTTTTGTTGAGACACCGAGGGGCGCTTTGACCTCTTTTCTGGGAAGTTGCTTTTAGGAGAATATCAAAACCTCTGGGTTCCTGTTGAGTGAATGCTTGCGGACGTAATGTCAATTCTAGCATTGCTTTTGCTATCAATATGAGATGACCTACGAACAATATCAGTTCTGCCGCTGGTTGCTGTTACATATCAAAAGCTCATTTCCCTATCTTCCCCGTGGGATAAATTGCCCGTGCGCCGAATTTGGCGTTTGTAGAAGTTATAGAATGTCTTTCCTACAGACATATATCTTACAATCTAATCATATGATTGTACTCACATCTTCGAAGAGTTTACCGATTGTATCAAACGTAACCTGTATATTTATCTCATCACAAATCCTACCTTAATAAAGCTACCCGGCTCCACTACCATTAATAAACCTCCTTCAATTTGTGATTATACAATCAGCGAAGCATAACTACTGATCATTGTAAATCAACATCTTCGAAAATCGAGATTATCATGACTTCCACTTATTGATATAGTAGTATGAAATAAAGCATTAGATGGCGGCGTCGGTAATAGTAAGACAATGGCGAAACACCCTATAGAACATCTCTTCAAAGTTGATAGTTCCTTTCAGAAATCTGGATCTTACTCGACAGTAGCCCCCCTCTTTTGGTAAGCGAGACTTCGATGAAAAAGTGTAAAGGTAGTGGTAAGGGATCACGATATAACTTGCTTGCCCTTTTCAATTCTTTGTGTTCTCTTTGACTAACTATCATATATAAAGGATCTAGCGAAGAACCAGATGCGGCATGATTTGTGAATGAATCAAGAAGGCCCTTTATCGAAGGAGATTATCAAAGCCCGGAATTTCTTTATGGTGAAGCATAGAAAATCACTCTTTTCAAATCTTTCAGAATATGAATTTGATCCCATCTATACTTTCGTAGTAAGGTATCACAGCACTCATCACTATCTCATCCGAATCAACTCGCCATGGCAAATGATTGGAAGTTCCGTTCTCGCATGCCCACCACCTCTATCGCAGAAATACAAATTCCTCCCGGTCCACTCCAACGCATTAGCAAGCGTAAGCGTGTCACCCGAATGATAACCAGGGATGGATGCAAAGAATCTAGCATTATCAACGAGCTGCGAAAGAAATATGAAATCGACCTCGAGCATCCCCCTTTTTATCCTCCTAAGATCACTTTGCCTCAACCACCTATCCCTCGCCCAGAATCTGATAAACTGAATAGCAAAATAAGAAGTGAGATGGAAAGAAGACAGTTCGCTCCATTGACTCCTGATTGGATTTGGAGGGTCTTGACAGAAATGTACAGAGTGGATGAGGAAAAATGGGGGAAATGGGCAGTTGATTTGGATGGTATGAAATTGCCGAAAGCCGATTGGAGGTATCTATTAAAGGCTCTCGATCTTGGATTCAGAGGAAACGGGGAGATGGAAGATCACGAGCTTGGCCATGTAACAAACACTATTGCCGATTTAGTAAGTTGGCTTTCATTAGGTTTTCCCGGCTAGTTACGTTTACATACTCTACTTGGGTTGAATTTGTGCATTTGGAGACTATTACTGATGTGGCAAACTATTATTAGTATGTTTACATGGCTTGCGACTATAGGAACAGAGCAATAGCAAGAACACTCAAAAGCGGCGACCTAGCTGGTGATACACCAACCAAACAAAAAGTCAGCTGTATAATCATTGATTCTGACAAGTTGTATTGGGATAGAGACAAAGGTCAGATAATCAAGGATGGAGAGGATGAAAACGGAAATGATATTCGTCGGGTTATAGAGCAAGACTTTCCCAAAGCTTGGGAAAAGACCATGGAGGCATTGGCACAATACGATGACGAAACTTTTGCGAATCTTGACTATATTGTGATTCCACACGAATATGGCGCCTTCCATACACAATGCATTGGAATAGCACCAAAGCAAAGATTTGTCTTCCATATCGACCACTCCGGTCTGTCGCAAGCCAAATTTGAAAGTTCATTAGAAAATACGTACGGAGCTTACTATCATTCATTTTTTCAAATGTCTTTACTTGAAGCTATCATATACACAAGATTCGATAAAGGAGAGATCGACACCAACGAGTGGCCATTGTACGGGCAATGGTCCTACCGCACGGATCATGCAGATCCAGACAACAGAACGACAGACAATAGTCCCAACGCAAGTCGACAAAATGATACCTACAACTGCGCTGTGAACACCATGGCCAGTGCAGTGAATTTGATATTTGGATATGATATGGCTTGTTATGTGTCTGGAATGGATCTCTCCCCCGTCCCTGGAGTAACAGGAAAGAGAATAAGAGTCGCAGCGGAATTCTTAAATGGGGGATTCAACTACCCGTTCAATTATCCACTGTTCAAGATCCCAACAGAGTTACAAGAGATCATTATCGATGAAACTTATAAGCAAAATCTTCGACCCCTTCCGAACAGAGTAGGAGGTATCTGGGACGAATGGGATGATGAGGACCTAGAGGATCCAGTGGATCCAGAAACAGAGGAGGAAGAAGAAGAAGAAGAAGGAGAAGAAGAAGAAGAAGAAGGAGAAGAGGAGAAAATACCCCAAGCACAAGCTCGAACAAAAGTCAAGAAATCCACTAGGTACAAAAAGGTCAAGTGGCATGGCCAACCCGCTTTGGATTGGGATCCTATAGAGCCACATCCGACAGGACCAGGATCTGCAGACGACGATTTACCAATACGAACTCTTTGGCCTGCTCAAATGGATCCTACTAGAACGGGAAAATGTGGCATTATATACCCGATCACAAAGCCGCGCTTCTCGGATCCAAGGTATGATGATGCGTTTGAATGTAAGAGGGCAGCCATATTCCATGGAATGGAGGGCTGGGAATTGTGGGAGCGAATGCCATTATATATGTTCAAGCGCTGGATGGAGAATGTAATGGCAGGCAGAGCACATGAAGAATTGTCTCCATGGGTGAAAGTGCTCAAGCTTGATGGACCCGTTTTCTCCAAGACACAATATTGAGGGACGAAGGCGAAGATGCTTACAAGATTTGTTGACTTATTCCTAAGCAGTCTTTTTGAAATTGTACTCTCAGATGTTACTGATTCTTATTTAATTGCGTTTGAATAAATACATTGCTCATATCTTCTCAGTGAACCTACAAATCAATATCTCAAGACTTCATGAAATAATGATTCAACGTGTTTTTCTGTGGTGACTTGCTGACTTTCTTTGTCGATGCCTCTTGCTCCAACTTTTCGGCCTTTTCACCAACCTTCATCAACTCACATAATTCTTCAAATTCAGCGGAATTGACAATTCCACCCGACGCCTCCTTGTGACCACGAGCAAAGTTCTCTCCTAGTCTCTCAACTAAATCTGTAGTATCCAAATTGGCTACTGCTTTTAATGACTCGATAATATTGACTGGTGGATCGCGAGCCCGAGCACATCTAGCAATCCGACACGAGAAATTTACCTTGCCGGGCAAGTAGCCATAATTGGCCACCATGACTATTTCTAGGGCTTTAGATTTCAAGAAGCCGGCCTTTGTAAAAGAATTAGTCAAATGGCATAACCCCAATGATTCAATACATACCCATCGCGTAGCAATAACCGGGTGGACTTGAGCTTTGCTTTCGATTTTTAGGACCGCAATTTTCCCGTCTTTACTAAATTTTGGCGGTGTATGAGTCTGTTTTTCAACTTCCTCATTGATCTCGCGTCTTGCTTCGGCGAGCCTCTTATCTTTCATGATTTCTTTTGGATCTTCGGCTTCGAGTAATGCTTTCCAAGCAGTAATAACATCATAAGTACCAGTTCTTCGTGCTATATGAAGATCAGCGATTGAGATTTAGGAATTCATTAAACATACGAGCGTTAATCAAGGAAACACAATCATTAATGAGCTTTTTGGTATGTTTCTTAAAAGTATCTTTCATATCTGGAAATGGGGGTATCCATTTTATGGTATTTCCCAGATCACCATGTGTTCCTATTGCGCAAAGATAGCCACATTCTTGAGCAATATCAGCATGAAGTTCTTTGCAAATCTCGTACGTCATGAGAGCTGTCGTTGGAACTGGAGGGCAATGGCAGCCTGAAACAACCTTCCCTCGTATATTAGTATCGTTGCCACAAAGGAATGTTTTCTCTCTTACAGTAGCATTTTTTGGAAAGTCATCACTTAAATGATGATCAATAATCATACATTTTGCATTCTCATCATCAATGACAGGCAAACCACCTCGACTTCCTTGGTCTAAAACAATCACATAGCTAGGTTTCATTTCTGCCATTGCCGTTCTTTCGTATTCTTCATGGATATTCGAGCCTTTCCGCACTAAATGAACACTCAGATTCTTTTCTTCAAGCCCAAGCTTTATCAAAGTGCGATACATGATCACCCCAGCACTCAATCCATCTGCATCTTTATCCGGTACAATGAGAGTGGGCTTCTGAGCCATCGCGCATTCTCGGATGAATTTGTAGGCAGATTCTAGTTGGTCACGTGACGCGGGCCAAATCTCTTCGCCTGCGGAAGTACGACGAACGGGAGTACTGCAGTAATCATCAATTTTGATGGTCTTCTTTGGCGACTCTGATGTGATTTCGGCCTTTCTTTTAATTCCACGATCCATTGTAGGAAGGTGAAGAGTTAGATTTGAAGGGCTGGGGCGTATTGATAATTTTGTAGACAAAGTATTGATCCAAGGCCTAGCAGAAGCGGTACGATATAGAAGACTTCTTTGAGTCAAGTTACTGAAAACAAAAAGCATCGATAAGTTTGAAATGTACAGAAAAGAGGTTGGATACAAAATGGAAGAAGTTACTGTTTTATATATTTATATATATATATATATATAATTGTTCACATGTAGTTTGTAAGTAATATAATATGAAGATGCAATTTTTTGCTTTGATGAAGAAGGTTCACATTGGTCAAGGTTATTCATGACGTAATCTATTAATCTACACAGCGCGAACGTGCCAAACCAGTGACTTTTCACCTCCCTTCTTTCCACAATATCATTGCAATAATCAATTGTTTATAGAATGGGAAGGGCTTTGAATGAAATCGGTTTACATGTTTTGGCTTATATTTCACATCAGAATATCGCTTTGTTGTCCCCTGTTGAACCGCTCATAACACAGTTCGCATGAGAGGTGGTGTATGTACAGGCCGGCGGTGGTTGCTATCGCACTTTCGGGAAGGTTAACAAACAATCTCGTGTGTAGCATTTGATATGAGAGGTTTTCAGAGGAAGACTACAACTGAATTCGAACGATGTATTTCATTAATTACATTTTCATTCACAAGCATACATATCCGAGGATTCAGCATATTTTTCTGTTTTTTTTTTTTTTTTTTTTTTTACAAAAAGAAAGTTTCTTCTATTTTTTTTGGTTTTTAGGGAGGGAGAGGAAGTTTATAGATCGAAAAATCAAGAACTACAAAATTTCTATCTACCTATCTATGTCATGAGATGGGAGAGAAGGCGTGGGTTTTGGTTTTGTATTGAGGTTGAGAATGAGTGAGTGAGTGATTAGGTTACCCCATTCTCAGAAATTCTCCGCCCACCACGATCTTCCCGCCCTTCTCAACTTGCTTGATCCGGAATTCGTATGGTGTGAAGCACCATCACTCGCTTGATACGAGTGACAAGAAATCGACAGTTCCGTATTTTTGATATCTGCGACGAATTCCTGCGTCACTGAGTCTCTTGCGGAATTGATGATGTCGCTCTCTGAAATCTTGAAGATTCTGCAATTGCTGTGAAATTTCGAGAGTAAAGCACCAATCATCCATGAGCTTTGAAAGTTCCTTGACCAACGCTTGATGTTCTTTCCAAAACAACTGGAATTGATGGATGTTGCAGCGGCGAGGATTGCACTTGCAGCCGTCAACTTCGAGGATCTTCCAGCACTCCTCGATTTCCTTGGAGCTATAATCGCAGAGTTGCGATGGCTCTAGGATTTTGCTGATGGGGAGGTTGGATGATGAGTCCGCCGCATCTTTGGCATCGATTGATGTAATGCAGAGCTGCTCGAAGCAGACATCACAGGTGCAACACTCTGGTGTTTCATTCTTTCCGTGAGCACTCTGATCTAGTATGTCGTTGTTGAGCTTGGCGTGGATGGGCCGATCAATTTGGAATTTGATGAATCGAGGCATCTTGCCTATTTTTTCGTTAACTCGCGTGGTTGATTTGTTTTTGGAAGTTAGGATATTGAGTGGTGAAGAGATAGTAGTCGTTGTGTGTAGGTGTGATGCTTAATGAGGATGAGATGAGTTGAGTTGAAATTGACATGAAAGGATCAACGTCTTCCTCATATACGTGCATAAAGATACTCGTTCAAAATCGGCTCAATTGTCAATCAGACAAGCTTGAGCGGTATGTAAGAGCGAGATCAGGATAAAAATGTCAGTGTCACGAGTAACCTCACTGCCAAATTGTCCCCAATGCGATGGCTGGCGAGAACAAAAGGCATTCTTCAATCTGATCGAGTTAAAAGCATCTGTCCCTGATCTGTGTCAGGGGCAAAATAAGAATGCCTTTATCCGGTATCTTTGTTCACCCAATTTGGGCAGTTCTATCTCTTTCAACTTAGTGCACATCGGATCTTTATCATCAGTCAACCTTACCAACCCAATTTTTCTTTAATTTTTCTCCAAAATAATTTTTCCTGCATTTTTGAAGATTTTGTTTTACAATGTACACTTGAAATATGCGAAATCGCAGAAGTACCAGGAATGCAATGTCGCCAATCACTTTCCGTCTGAGAATCTCTTGTAACGAGCATTTCATATGTGCAACATCAACCTCGTCAGGTGCAAGTGACCAGCTATCTTGACCTTTGGGTGCTTGCTTGGAGATTAGAACTCTGAGTTTCAGATTCTGGAAACACAGAAAAGAAGCTTGAAAGACGTGGAGCGAAATATTCTTATTGTATGTTCTGCGGTTGTTCCTTTTGATCCGAGAAGAGAATGGAAGATTGTTAGTGACAATCATCAAACCCATAGTATCATATTCTCTGACAATTTGGCTCCGCTTCGATTCTTCCAATCATTGATAACTTAGAACTTTGATAAAGTGAGCTTCAGTCCTCGCTTGTCCGCTTTCTTTTTGATTAGCAGGCGTGCCCAAAGAATACCATAATTAGTACCTGAATTGTGTCCAAAAAAAAGGATAAATCAAAGACCACTTCTGCATATGATGTTCCAAACTTTGCTACCATATTGCCGGACATCGCAATCCCTCAACTGGTCCAAAAGATTGTGGCATAATAGTGAACATGTCCTGAACAAGTCATTTCTCGGAGTGAGTGGTGAAATCTTGGCGGAGTAGTAGCATGAAACTGACCCTTTGGTCGAGCGAACATCTTAACAAGCAGCTTCTGCTTTGTGGTAATTTGATGTGTAATGAATCTAGAGGATCCAATTGTATGTTGTAATTGAAAAGGATTCCCGTACCTACTTCTGATGTATTTGCTGAAACAAGATGGCCCAGGACGAATTCCACATAACTTCTTGAATGATAGCCTAGCTACGCTACCCTCATTCTGTCGAGCTCAGAACACGGTCAAGACAACGAAGGAACAAACCTCAAACAACAACATTCTAAGCCATCCCTTGTCCCATGAATACCATCTACTTCGTCCGAACATTCTTAAATCTTTTTCTCCTCATCCACTCGAGTCTTGACAAGACAAGACAGACAAGACAAACACAAAACTCTCATCGAATCCAGACTCAAATCCCGATTCACATCCCCAGATCACAACTTTAAGAAGTCACCACCAAAACCACAAAGATGAATAACGGAAACGGAAACAGCTCTGTAGTCATCTTTCACGACATCGAAGAACTTTCACGCACCCCCGTCGGAGAAGAACATTCGCATATCGCCCTCCAAGGAGACCAAGATATAGACGACCCACCCATCACAGACCCAGCCCTCGAAGAACCCATCATCAACGACCCGCCGGTCGAAGTACCCCTCCTCCAACTCAGATCACAACCGCCGCAACCACAAGCACAATCATCCGCGTACTCAAATATCATCACTTTGATCAAGATCATCGAGTTGATCGCTTTGATCGCCATGGTTTTTCTCCTCCCCCTTGACTACTTTACTCCTAAACCCGTACCCGCACCCACTCCAACCAGACCACCACCTTCATCACCAGCCGGACGGTAAGAAGTCGAATCCTAATCCAGTTAATCCACGGGAATAACTAGGATAAGGATTAGAGGGGGAAAGGTGGGGTGAAGTTTCGTGGTAGAGAAGGCAGAAGGAGATAAGTACTCCATACAACAAGTTTTCTTTTGTAGGGCAGACTGAAAAGACCTGGCGTTCATCAATCGAGAAAACATGTGAAATTTAATTTTTTTTCTCTAAATAAGAATTTATAACCCAAAAAAACCACAATCACTGCCAAAAATAATAGAAATGTGACTTTGATAATGTGCAAGAAATGACTTTGAATTAACTGAATGACGAAGTACACAGTAGTTGATGTACAGTTGACGAGAAACTAGAAGATTTAAGCCGAGAGTCAAGGAACTAAAATTATTGATCGCTCTCCATGCAATTATCACATCTTCTACATATGCACTTATCTATACACTCAAAATGACTGAGACACTTGGGTCAAGTAGATGAATGACCGACCCCCAGCCTCTGCCTCGCGACAAATATGACCCATCCAATAAAAAAATGGAAATCATGCAGGTTTCCGACGGATTCTTATGCAGTTATCCGCATGATTTATTTATCGCTAGGAATCTCGAGCCCTCAAGTATGCGTTTTTCCTTCCCCTTTCGCATTCAGCTTGTTGAATACAAATTCTCTCTCTACTCATCTATCACTAAACTCTTTCCCACAATATGTCTACCGCATTCAGCAGCCAACTATTAGCCGCAACAAAACGCGATTTTCATGAAATCGTCCAGCAACTCTTCCTGAAGAACCAGGAGCCTATAAGACCACAAAATTACAGGAGTGGTACTTTTCGACAATCAAAAAATTATATGCTCCTATATGAGGAAGAGCAACATCTAGCAGATCACATAGCAGTCCTCGCCCAAGCCAGGGAGGGCGCAACTAGTGTGTCGGCAGCTATGATTCAAGAGTGCAATGGTCGAGATTCGCCATCGCTAACCATTCGAATCGCATCAAACGAAACGCCCTTACCAGAAACTGTGAATAGATTGCGTAGATGTTTAGATATAGTGCAGGTGCGTCGGGCTCAATACCTCACAGAATAGGAATAAGAGAGTCGAAAGACTAATTCATGTACACGGTTCAGAAACGGATGAGCACATAGATATTCACAAGTCAAATCTCCTCATACAAATTATCAAGCTGAGCAAAAGTCGTCTGCAACGTCGTATTAGCCCACAAAAGAATCGAGGTGGCAAGGTTGGAGTTTCACCTTTTGACAGGGTTGAATCATTGCAATGTGAACTGTTGGTAATAGAAGCCAATGCTGACAAGACGTCTCCACGAAGTTCTCTTTGTGTTTACCTTTCAGAGTTATGCCAAAAGATCGAAAGCTTCACTCTTTCTTCCGAAGATGGACAAATAAGTCTTTTAACCGCAATAGTCCTTACTACACGCAAAGTATCGACGTATGCCAATAATCCATCACTTAAGCGTCAACTACAAATGTAAACCATTGACCTAGACCTAGACCTCAACCACCGCCGAACCGTCTCCCAAATCGACAAGATAAGCAGATACCTAGAAATCAGTAATGGCCTGATGGAATTTTCTCGGAAAAAGGGTTGTAATGGTTTATTTCGCAACATCCACTTGGAAGTGTGCAATACGCCCAAGGCTCAGTATCACAAGGGTCAAATTTTGCATGTCCATAGTGAGACACAACTCATTCATTTCTATGAGCAATATCCTGCGGGTTCGGCCCCAAGGTACAAAGGATCCAGTAAGTCGGCTTGCTTTCTATGCGACTCATTTATCAGGAAACATGGATTATACCGTATCTCGCACTTGCACTGCAGATTGTATCCAAGATGGACGGTACCAGAAGGAGATTGCGTAAATGAAGAGATAAATTTGAAGTTTGGTGAGATTTTGAGAGACATGAGTCAGGAAATGGTGCAGATCAAAGAGACTTTCGTGAGACGACCCGGATATAAAGGAAATGGTGCAGAGAGCAGAGTGCATCTGTTGATACTTTCGTCGAACTCCAATGCAATTTCAAGCCCTTTGACAGAGATGAGCGCTTCTTTGAGGTCAGAAACTTCATTAAAAATTGCCGTTGTTCATAAGTCTCAGTCTGAGCTTTCCGAAGCCTCTAAAGTCACAATAAACACCACATACCAATCTTGTGATCTTCCGCCAAATACGACTACCAGTTCGACTGTCGTAACAGGAGCTTTGAATGGCCTTGATACTGCTCTCGAATCAGGGGTCATCCCAGGTTCCAACTCGGCACCTTCCATCAGCTCAAAATCACCACACCCAAGTCCCTTATACGAGTGCCACCCACAAGACCTCCCCATTACAATCCGTATCTCACCCGATAATCCCCTAGACACAATTATCCTCTCCATCGGTAAAGTGGAATACATCTTTGATGTTCGCGATATGGAATTTGGATATCTTCATAGTAGACCAACGAAACAAATCGATGTACTGAAAGAAAGGAAGCGATTGCAAAGTGGAGAATCAGCTGAAGGAAGCCATGAAGCACTCCGACTCGTAGATGTCAGAGGTTCTGAACTTGATGGCGAACTTGTGCTCATCGGCAGAACTTCGGATTCAAAGGCAGTGGCGTTTTCTGTAAATGATGGGGGAAAATGTAACATTTGTGTCAAGGTTGTATGGGATGCAGAGGAAGCATAATGGAGGAGAGAAGTGATGTGAAACATTAAAGTGCTTGAGATTCGGCTATTTGGGGACAAGCAAAATGCAAACTCGCATTTGCATTAGCTGCAACTTACAGCCAGCACACCCTATTTATTCACTGTAGCATTCAGGAAAATATATCTTCGAGAAACATTATTATTCATTCATGATATTACATTTGATATTTGTCTTGTCCTACAAGTATGCGCTATCCTCGTATACGAGACCTGACGCGCCTATTACACAATCATATATCCATATCTTATTGTGTGCATTCGCATTCGCAGTTGCTTGCATTGCCGTTCCCAAAAGAGATCCCATCCATCCGTGCAGCCGTCCATCCCAAGTTCCTAGCAGGTAAGAGGAAAGACGGGGGACATAATAGACATTCACCCAGTAAATTCCTGACCTTCCTTTCCATTCCCAATCCTAACCTCATGTCTTCAATAAATATCATATCAAGATAGAGGATCTCCCTTGAATCATATCCCCTTTGAATAATGCAAAAACCTATCATGCCACTTCTCCGGACCAGCCAGACCAAACATCTTCAGCGTCTCGCTCCCAATGATTTGCTCGTCGCACCGAAGAAGGCACCCGTAAAGAACCAAAGAAATAAGGACGAAGAACGCAAAAAATATCACAACTACCACCCATTAAAACAAGATATATCGGGAGAAATTAACAAAGAGAAAAGGTATAAAGCTTCCGTGTGCACAATATCGGAAAATTGTCATATACGCCATCAAAACCATGCCACCAGGTATATCGAGATCAAAAAAACACAACTCCGATGGTTCACCATCCAACGCTATCGGTGACTCAAACGACTTAAGAATATTCGTACAGCCTGCGATCGACCTAGCAGCCGGAAGCAGGTATTTCCATAGAAGGAAATGTATCCTGGATTATGAAGATGCGGGTGGTTCCGCTTTACCATCCTTTCTTTCTAGCGAAACGTTTATTCAAGAGAGCAAGAACCTTTGGCACGTTGAACTGAACATACTCCAGGTCAAGATCTTCTTGATTATCCTTTTGCATCTCGAGTAAGTCATCGAGTTTCAAATCAAGCTCTAGTAGACCACGATTTCGTCCTATCAAAGTTAGCAGATATTCATAGAGGTAGAAGGATAATCCAATATTTCATACCTTTGTAATGTAACGAAATAACGAAGGTTCCGGGCAGAGGACTAGTGAAGTTGAAGTAGATGTTGGCTCTTCTGTTGTCCGGTACGTTGCTCTTTTGAATAACGCCTTGTTTCTCCAATTCGCCATGAGTGAATTTATACGGACCCAAGACTTGATGCTTTTGTTGTTTTCGCTTGGTACCTTCACTTTGACTTCGAACATTGTGCAGATAGCTTTTGTAAGTTTCGAGTTGACCGACTAGATAAGTGTTGTGGTCTCGAATAGTCTTGAAAACTTGATCAAGTTTTTGAGTTTCGAGAATAACTCCGTCTTTGAGTGATCCAAGATGTTGGAGCTCTTGTTCAACTTCATCCCGCAAAAGGCTGAATTGATCTGATTTATCAATGACTCCCAATTCCTGCAATTGGCTCAATAATTCCATTGCCCGAATACCTTTTCGTACCATGACAGCATCATTTCGGTATTGACCTGCCGCATCAGCAACTCTTTCAAGACGAAGTGGTCTACGTGCCACAGCGCTGTTGCTCGGAATTGATCTCATAATTTGAACGAATGTTGACTTGGCCTCCATGAAGAATACTTCCTCCTGAGTAATGTCGAGTGCAGCCGTCAAATCATCAATCGCGGTTTCCCATTTGCTAAAAAGTGGCAAGTTGATAGCCCTGTTGTCTTTCCTGGGTAGTTGTGCGGGGGCTGGTCCTAAATCGGCTAAAATTACTGCTAAATGTGAGTTTTCATCCTTGTTGAGTTCGGCCGTGTGTTTATCGAGTAAAGCATGCGTAGCATAAACTTCATTGAGGGTAATTGAAAGCTCCAAATCCTTCTTTGATAATGCTACATAGTTGTCCATTTCCAAACTTTCATAAAAATCCTGAACTTCACAAAGATCAAGCATAAACTTGTTGACTCGTTCTTTGTTATGTTGAATGAATGGTTGAAGCTTGGCCATATATGGTTCCTTTGCATATGAGGGTTTGTTGGCAAGGTTTTGAAGCATCTTAGCAATCAATGTCAAGGTTCGTCTGGGTCGATCGGCTGGAGTTCCATCAATGAGCATATATGATTTAGGGGTGACAATAGCAGGGTTGATAAATCGCAAGAAAAAGAACCCTCCGATAAGTGTACAAATCACTTGATCGTTGGCATCAGGGTACTTTCTTTTTGTGAGGCTTCGAATTTGTTTGCAGATCCATCGAATACCATAAGGTGTTTCCTCTAAGCCATCGATGATTGTTGTAAGGAATCCATTTGCAATCTCCATAAGCATCGTTAATCTTGGTTCGATGATAGCCTGGACCTGTGTATTATCTGCCGCTTGCTCTGCTGTTACTCCTCTGGGTAGAGAAGCCGGAAGTCCTCCTGTCTCCAGCTCAATCTGTGCAATCATTGTTTCATAGACCTTAAGGGGATTGATCTCCAAGTCGAGATCCTTCAGCTCGATAAGTCCATTGATTCTGTCTGCCAATACAGTCTTCAAATAACTCTGCCCGGGACCTCTTCTGGTATATGTTGTCATCATGCGAGATACTGGTGTGTTTGCACGGAGGAGGGAGGAATATTCTGGCGTGTTATCAAATTGGTATGTTAAGACAGACTACAAAGCAAGTGTCAGTATTGGAAGCAGCTCAATTCGCCAAGGGTACAACTTACCTGAAACATAGTCAAGAGCAGATGTTCTTCACGGCTCTCATATTGATTTCCATAAATCGTGAACATGACTGTCTGCAGTAAAGAATCAATCTCTGCCATCGTGACAAGGCGGCACAAATGTGCAATGTGCCTGGGCTCTGATTGAAGCAAGAATAAAAGGTTGCCATATTTTTGTGTCTTCTCGTCATTTGGGAAGAAACCTTCCTGCAAGTCGGTCGCATCTTCCAAGTGACTAGCCACCTCATTTTGCTGAAAGAGATATTAGTTGTGAAACTTGTCCTGGGAAGTTTAAGTTCCTACCTCTTCCAAAGCCATGCGGTTCTGAATCAATAATGCAATTCTCGAGTCCAAATACCTGACATCTTTCTCTAACACGAAATTCTTCTTCGACTGCGACGAAATCTTCGATTTGAGCTCTCGTAGAACCTTTTGTGCTACGTCAATGCATTAGTACAACATTCAAGCCAATACCAATTGCACCAAATTTTTTACCTTTAGCAAGATCATCCTCAATTTCCAAATCCTTCTCATTCGCAGACATGGAGAGATATAGAGTAGTCATAGAATATCTCTTTGATTGACGGGCAGAGCGAGCCCCATCGTGTGAAGACATGGTATTCTGTCGGGAAACTGGTTGGAAGGAAGAAGATGAGGCTGTTGATGCCCGAGAAGGGGTCTGAAGCATTACACTCATATCGTTTGTTGACCGAACAAGTCGGATTTTCTATAAATTAAATGGAAGTGCCAATATCTTTTGTAACACTTTCAATGGGGTCTTTGACACACCGTGGTGTGTTGCGCAAAAAAGAACAAAGAGAATTGTCGATCTCTTTTCTTTGGTTGGTCGAGAGAGGTAGAAAGATAGATAGATTGGTGGAGGATTCGAAATTATTGTAAGATGCCTGGAGCAGGTGGTGATATGTAAGTATGTATGCTGTATGCTGTATGTATGTATGTACTTTTCAAAAAGTTTCGAAAGATCAGACAATAGTTGGAATAATTGAGCAAAGTTCTGTTGGAAGGAAAGAAAGATATTATCGTAAGGTTGAATAAAATCGAAAATGAGAGTGAATTGGATGCGATGGTATGGTTTGGAGGAAGCAACACAGGCTTTGTTGAATTTTTGGAATTGCGAAGGAAGGCTTGTAGATCGACCAGCGAGCCGCTCGGGTCTTCACCCCGAATTACTTGACGAAAATGTTTTTTTCTTCTTCTTTTTCTTCTTCTTCTTCTCTTTAAAATAGAAAAAACAATCCTTCAATTGAGATATAACATGAATGATTTAAATGGAAATCTCTGGTTGAAATATTCGCATGCGGCGCCGATGACTGGATAATATGTTGATGGGTTGCGTTGTCGCAAGAAAAAGAAAAGTTCCGCATGCAAGAGGATGAAATGTTGATGTATGTGATTGTCTGTCAAAAATGTGTAGCGGTAGTGATTGATTGCGATACGATGGATGATGCGTTGCGTTGCGTTTCGTTGCGTTTCGTTGCGTCGCGTACAGATAAATAAATGAAGGGGCGAGGTTTATATGCGATTCAGTATATTGATTGAAACAATATCGGGGAATTGATTCAAGATTTGGATATCTATACGAAGGAAAGGTAATGTTGCAAAAAGTGTGAAAAAGTCGTCGGAGAATAATCAAGTAAGTGAGGCGGTTGAGGTGGATGAGAGTGGGCGGGTGGTGAGGTGGGTGAAGTGGGTGAGTGAGGATTACTTTGATGAACGATGAAAAAATGAATGATGAATGATGGATGGTTGATCAATTGGTATGTTTTAAGATGTAAAGTTAACAGTAGAGTTATGTATGGATGTATGGATGTATGGTGTATGGATAAATGTATAGATATATAGATGTATAGATATATAAATGTATAGATATATAGATGTATAGATGTATAGATGTATAGATGTATAGATGTATGTAGAGTTGATGAAGTGGGATGGACGTTCGTTTGCTTTGGCGGGATGGGGAATGGATGGATGGGATAGTTCATAGAGTAGCGAACAGACGAGGGAGGGGATGAGGGGGTTTTTCTGCAAAGCAATCAGAGTACTAGGTTGGTAGATAATGCATGGCGCTGGGCAAAGCGAACCGTCGTACCGGTGTGAGAGAATGATGAGTGAGTGTGTGAATGTACTCTGTATACCAGAGTAACCCTTTTCCAAGAATGATTAATTCTTTTCTTCCA